GCAGAGGCCAATCCTGATGTAGAGTTGATAGAGCAACACACAAGAGCATGAACACCAGGATATATGTCATTGAGGCCATCTTTGAGACATGTTTCCATGCTTCCCACAAAAACTTACATAAGAGCTGGGGATATAGCTCAGTGGCTTAACACCTGCCTGGCAAGACAAGGTCCTAAGTTTGATTCCCAGTTGGTAGGGGGAAAAAAATCTTACATAAGATCAACATTTTCTTTGCTTAGAGAGACTATTTACTAATCTAATTTCCTCCTACTCGCTCTTAGTCAGTTGACTTTGAATTTGGTTTTGTGTTTTTATTTCAAATTCTTAAGATTAGTGTCTTCACTTTGTCACTTTTAAATATAATCAGGATATTTTTAGTTACTTATTTGGCAACATTCTGTTTGACACATGGACCAACAGTGTAAGAGAATAATTATATGATTAATAAAGGCACAGTTGTAGAATCACAAACTTATAGACATGTTATAGCAAGTTAAAATCAAATAGTAGCCTCTGCCTATGCTCCTGCTGCCTGTCACATAAATACCCCGTTAATTCAGTCAGCCTTGACTGTCTGGGTCCAACTGTTTTATTTCTGAAATTCACTGAGCCAGTTTGATTATTCTCAGCTTACGTTCCCCTTAATTAAGAAAACATATTGCTTCCTAACTGGCTTCAAGGCCATAGGTTTGGGTGAAGTAACCCAATCAGAGAATACTTTTTAACTCTGCTTGAACCACTTCCTCTCATCCCTAGGATGTTCCTATGTTATTATAAACAATTCCTTTTAAGAAAATATATTTAGAGTTAGTTTTCCTGACAACATACAACTTAATTCAATCCATGCAACCAGTCATGTAAATCCTCATTCTTCCTACTTGTAAACGGTACCAAAACTGTCTCAGTGCTAGTGATTTGGACTTGGCCCTGCTAGCCCACTGGCGTTATGATCCCAATGGCAATACAATCAATAGACAGTTGTCTTCCAACTCTTGGGTGCAAAGAATCTTCCATTTGGTTTGATACTGTTTTTTGTAACAATAGTACCACTCACTGGGCTTACTAAAGCAAAAACTCTGATAGTGTTTTGGATCTGCTTGGGCAGAGATTGAGTTTAAGTTATTTATCAGGTTTTATTGCCACATATAGAGGAGGCATTCGGTTCATATTTGCTAAATACAGAGGTTATATTGAAACATTAATAATCTAATTTTTATTTTAAAATGTTGAGCAATAAGGCATTGAGTGATACATTGCTGTAAATGTGGAACCCACACTTCATCATAGAGACTTGATGCCATTTTAAAATCCTCTTCCTCAAATGCTTATGCTCTGCTTGATAAACTGAATTTAGAGTGTTGGAGACCCATATATGATTTTATCAGTGAAGTCTAAGGAAAAATGGCATTGACACAGAGCAGTTTCCAACCAATAAATGAGGAAGCCCTAATTCACCAACCTAAAGAAGTTTTAGTAACTTGAGCAGAGTTGAAAAACTTTAATCAGACTGAATATAGCACTCATTTTTATCTTTCTTTTGGATGATTCCTATGAGGACACTGCTATTGAAAATTTCAAGCAACTAAACTATGTAGACATAAAATTTTTTCCCATAGGCAATTATATTTACTGTGAAAACACATCATATGATTTGCTAATAACAATGAACACAAGAGCAAAGTTAGAGAAGGAGCGAGTGAAGGCTTTTGGCAGTAAATATTTGGTAAAGAAGAGATACAAAAGAATATACCCAAACAACTTTTCAAGTTCAGTTAAGCATAAAATATATTCTTCAGTGTTTACATTATTCTTCTCAAGCAAGAAGGTACCACAGAGACAAATCTTGACATGAAACAGCCACAATATATTGATAATAAATTATGTTTGGTATCTGAGTAAATATAAAATACACACAGTTCCTTTCAAGTCAGAATTTCAGGTTTTTTTAGTCTTATCCTAATCCTATATATTACCTCAAAGAGTGGATGTGGATTAGTTTTCACAAAAGTAATAAATACATACATTTTAAATAAGTGAAGGGAAACCAGGGCAAATTTAAAGAAGCAAAATAAATTACATATATTTCAAATAATCACAATAAAAGTGACAATAAAGATAAAATCTATTGGTAGAAGAACAAATAAACATAGCAAAGTTAATTTAAATAGTCCTAAAATGGTACAAAACTATAAGCAGCAGTAACTAAGATTATGCTGAAATAATTCAGACATATATTGGATTATTACACTTTATTCCAAGTTCCATAACTAAAAAAATGAGGAATATGAAAAAAAGTTTAGAAAAGTATCTATAAATTAAAGATTGCAAGAAGTCCTCTAAAATACTTTATATGGTTAATTTTAGTAAAGAGCCATAATAATATATGCTCAGCCTTTATTTGTGGATACTGAAAAAGTTATATTTAAGTGTGTATAAGAAAAGAAGGTCTTATGTTACTTAAGTTACAAAGTTGATAATTATAAGATAATCAAAAGTCAGACTTGCATATAAAGGACAACTATGTGACTGCAGTCTTTAAGAATGAGATAGATTCTCAGTTGGTTAACATACATCAACTCTTGCCTAAAAGAAGTGGAACAAACTGAATGACATAAAGTGATGCTTTGTTCTTTCAAACAGGTAACAAAACAGTAACTAAGAGAGATAATCAGGTTTTTGTGTTAATTGTGTAATTTAAACAACCATATTGTATAAGGGTAAGTAGAATTTATGATTCAAAGTGTTATAAATTATGTATAAAAGAACTAGTAGCAGAACTAGAGGTCTTTGCTCATTACTCAGAATCTATATTAATTCAAAATCTTATAGTAATACAATAATACAAATTCAGTTAAAATGGACCATTGCTTTCAATCATCCATTTATACATCCTGAATGATTTCCTTGAAACATAATGGCTAATCTACCCCTTCATGGTATATCCATTAGAATTTTAAGAGCTATAGGCCTAAGCTGTTCCACAGTATAATCTACAGTTTCCACGTTAATCAAGTTCACAAAAGTGTACTGAAGGACAGAAATAAATTCAGTTTTTGTGACAGGCCAGAGGTTCAGAAGAGATCAAGGACAGAGCTTGTGAGGAAAAATAAGCAATGATATATTAACAGACTAGCTTTCAAAAAAAAAATCCTTTATGAACTATATGTGAAAAGATTTGTATTCCTGGGACAAGAGTAAAGACTTTTTATTTGATCTGATTAAAAAGTTATTCAGTCTTTATGTGCATTAAATAAACTAACATTATGACTTAAACAGCCTTTCAGTTACATGGACACCACTATGGTAAGAATTACGAAGTATAAAAATATTGATAGCTAGTAGACTGTTGGGAGAAGCAGACCTGATACTAGATAATCTGTTAGCAATTCAAGGCATTTCTAGAGTATGTGTAGCTCTATTAACTATTCATTGGTCCTTCCTGATGATATGTCTGAATCTACAGAGTGAAATAGATAAGCAAGAATGTTTACATTGTGGAGTCTAATATTGGAACACATCATAAACCTCCAGGGCATTTAAGGTTCATGCATGTTTTCTTTATCAGTAATTCATCCCTTTGTGTTTAATATGGTATACTATTGTATGACTATACCAAGTTGTGTTTATCCATTTATCAGTTGGAAAATATTTATGTTGTTTGTATATTTTGATAATTATGAATAATGGTGCTATATAAACCCATGAATAAGTTTTCGTAAGAAAAAAATTAAAGATTTACTTTATCTTGAATATTTTCCTAACAGTAAGATGATTGAGTTTTATGGTTAAAAATATATTTAATGTTATAAGAAAGTGCCAAAATATTCTCAAGGTGGCTGGACTGTTTTGCATTCTCAGCAACAATGTGTGTTCCAATCCTAGTCATCCTTGTTATATCTTGTACTGTTAGATTTTAATATTTTTAAATTTTAGTCTGCCTGATAGATAAATGGAGGTATGTCATCATGGTTTAAAGTGTGCTTTTTTGTGCTTGGTTTCCAACTATATATCTTATTGCATACTACATTTTGACACAAATGCAAAGTTAGTTCATAGGAGGATAGTCTTTCCTATAAACACCGCTGAAAATTTTGGATATAATTATGTGTAAAAAAAAACCTTCCATTTATAGCCTGAGCCATGTACAAAACTGAATCAAAACCTGTCACACACTGAAATACAAAACTTAAAACTATAAAAGTTATTTAGAAAGAACTTTGTGACTATAAATCGAGCCAATATTTGTCAGATATGAAAGAAAAAACAAGTCATAAAGGAGTATCACAGGAAATATGAGATTTTATCAAAATGAAAAGGGTCTTTTCAAAATGTATTATTGAAGTAAAGAAAAGAAAATCATATTTTCAAGGCATGTATCTTTTAAATGATTTGTGCTAAAAAATATCTAAGGACCTGAAACTCTTAAAAGCCTAAACAACATCACAATGGCCAAAAGAACAGCTGCTTTAATGAAAAATGTATTAAATTATGTCAAACATCATCATTCATTAGATAAATTCAAATTAAACCAGACTAGGATACTAAAAAGTGTCTTTTGGATAGTCAAAAATTAGAAAGGAAGGTGTAAATATAACTGCAGAACACATATAGCTCCTGTATCTCTGCTGGTGTTGGAGAACATAAAATGGTATAATCACTTTGGAAAACCCTGAAGCTAAAAGAAAAGCAAACATATATCAATGCATAGTCCTGTACACAAACATGTACAGCATCTTTGCTTCTAACAATACAAAAATGAAAACAGCCCAAATGTCCATCAGTAGGTGAATACATACACACATTGTATTTCCACTCTTCTAGAGAAGTCACCAAAGCACAAAATGACCACTTTTTGAATTGCTGGCAAACTATCGAGGCAGCAAATGGAACATTTTAGAGGGCCCATGTGTCTTTCCACCTCATCTAATGATAAATAAGAGTTACTTAGCAGAAAGCATCATTTATTCTTTTTTATAAGAAAATAAAGTTGAGCATCTTACCAATATATTTATATCCTTCTTCTCCATTGATTATGGGTCTCAGCCAGGTTGACTTGATAAGAATGTTATTGACTATATGAGCACCACGAGGAGGATACAATGTAAATATCATTTCAATTGCCTGAAACTTTTTGATCACCTCCTGAGATTTTTGTCTCTCTGTTTAAAAAAGGAGGAACATTTTTAAAATTTTAATTTAAAATTTAAATTTAAAATTTAAAAATTTAGTTTAAAATTTAAAATTTTAGACATTTTACAAAATGTTTTACAACTTTGTTTTAAGAAACACAAACTGCAAACTACTTAATTTATACTAAAAAGTACATTGAAAAGATGGATTCCTACTATTTATTCATATAATTCCTTGCAAAAATTAAAGAGTACAGGCTTTACTTCCAGTGCTATCAGTTTAAGGAAGTGTTTAAATCTATAGAAAAGAAATTAAAAATAACCACTTCCTAGCATTCATATTACATATTCAACAACCTAACCATATATTTTAATTTTTAATTATCATTAATCAATTGACTCTGATTAATCTGAGAAAAATACTATGAGTAAGTGTAAAGTTCCATAAACTGGACTTACAAAGAATTAATATCCCTAGGCTGTCTTTAAGAAAATATAAAAATGCATAGTCTTTGAAAGACTTTTTTATTTGACCACTGCTATGATTGGTTCATTGTGTCGATTTGAGAAATTTAGAAATTTAACTAAGTAATTCGGTAGTTCTATATCTTATGGTGTAGAGAATATATCCTTGAGTAGCTGTTTACACACTAGGATACTGCAATGGTTGATCCATTGTGTCAGTTGGAGAAGTTTAGAAGCTTAACTAAGTGGTTCAGCAGGAGGCCAAGGATCTCACTTTATAAACACTCTTGATGACTGGGAAATGGTATGAGTGATACATCTTCCCAGGGTGGGTAGCCTGCATATAATAAAGGGAGAAAAAAGAAACTTGTTTTCCCCTTTTTGCTCTTGTTGCTTTTTCTGTCTTCTGCCATCTTGAACTGTTGCTCTTCAGCCATGCCACCATGCCTTGGAGCCAGCTGATTATGGACTGAAACTTCCACAAAATGTGAGCTAAATAAACCTTTGCTTCCTTAACTTTGGGCATTGGGTATTTTGTCTCAGCAAGTAGAGAAAAGTAACTAAGAAATCAACATCCCAATAACATTTATTAGGTGTCAAAAAATGTTTCACGCTTTTAAAAATATTAGCACATTTAATTTTTAGAACACATCTAGGAAGTAGGTCTATTATTTATGTCCTTTTACATGAAGAAAATTGAGGTCCAGATCATTTAAATAATTTAACCAAAGCTTAGTCTGTAAAGGAAGCTGAGGATTTGAATTATCTAAAGAAGCTCTTAGTTTCAAATAAACCTTTATCAACCACACATGATATGCATTAACTAGTATACAAGAAAACTCTCAATATGGCTCTTGGTCCTCCAGTTTGTAATTTCAGCTTTTTTTTTTTTTTTTTTTTTTTTTTTTGCTAAATAAGAGTCCTAAAATTCAGTGAAGCACTCTATTAAGCATCTGACGTGACTCTACTCAAGCAATATTTCAAGAAAAAGAGATTAAAAGAAAACCTAGACTTAGATTATTACATGTAATCTTGTCTAATCTTATTACATTGTCATTCCATCTTCCCCCTGTTTGCCTTTCTATTGTTAAATGCCAATTTTTTTTGGAAAAGAAAGTATAAGGCAGTATGGCATAATGATTTAAGAAAGTAGATTTCTACTTTCTGGTACTGACAGTGAGATAGGTAATCTGTTATTCCACAATTCCTAATTCATCATTCATTGTCTTCCTTGTGTGATTAGAACATCTATCCCTACTATATGGCACAAATTTAAGCATCAGCCACAGAGTAGCCACATCAGTAAACCTCTCCAACCCCCAGTTAGCAGTTATACCTTATCCTATGAGATCTGCACCACAGTGTAGGGGAGAGTGACTTTCTTTAAAATTACTTCCCCTTAGCTACTCCACCTCAGTCCCCTCTATGTACCCATTCTTCTCAATTCTTTAGAGTTCTTTCTGCATCTCAGCTACTGGTTGCACTCCAATCCTTGTCATACTAAATAATTATTCATGTTAGACTCTTTGCTCAAAGTATTATGTAGTTTATGTCTTCTCCCTGAACCCTACCATGAACAAACTTAGATTTCTAATGCTTCAACTATCTTTAATAGAGTTAGAACTATTAAACCAATCAACTTCTCACACTTAAAATTAATCCTTCATATCTTCCTTGTAAGACTAGAACATTCTTACTCTGTAATATGGGACAATTTTAAGCACTGGCCACAGAGTCAAATGGGTAGAGCTAGAACTAAAGAATGAAAGGGCTGATCTTAGAGTTTATGGTAGGATATCTATTATAGCATTATGTCTGCAAGTATTCTATATGTGTATTTTGAGTTTTCATATAGTACCATTTCAATGATAAAAATTGAGATTTGGGAATAAACATGTTGATGCATATTTTGAATATAAATATATTACTAGGATGTTTCTATTTCTTTTCAAAAGTGAAGAGCTAAAAATGATTCCATTCTAATAAAACAAATCCAACATCAAACACATCCTCCCAGATATGTATATAAATCAAATATATTATCTATATACTTCTAAATCTTGCTTTCTACTCTGTGAACAGAAGAAAGAAAGTTAGAACCATTGTGAAGATGAAGAATGAACCAGGCTTTCCTTTTTGGCCCTACTTAGACTTTAGGATTTGATAGCCTCAAGAAATGAATAACTTTTCCAGGTGTAATGGACACTAGTGGAAAATTACATCACAAGAAACTATATGGATAAACTACCTAAAAACATGACAATTTCTTTAACTCCTAAAACAGGGAAACAAAATAGAACAGAAGTTCACTTTGAAAATGTAATGAAGAAACATGAAACAGGAACAACTACGAATAATTGCATCTGCTTGGTTTAAAAGGACCTAATTGCACTTACCAGTATTTATATTTTTCTAATTCTTTTAGTTTAAAAATCTTGTTGGGAAATTTTATTTGTAGGATTAGGCTTATTCATTATACTAAAGCACTTCATTTGCCATAAAGGCATATGTTTCAATTTCAGGCAAATAAAATGCCTACATTAATATCTAAGCAATAGTGAATACAGAACTGCCACCTTCTCTAATTGGTTACATTTATCTCCAAGATAAAAGAGAAAAAGCTAACTTTATACTAACATTAATATCACAGGCCCAATGTCAACAGTTAATGAAGATTTTCTTCCACTATGAATATTATGTATTAATTAGCAAGCTAATTTAGCCCTTGTAGCCCCTTTTCAGTTACATGAGACTTTCAGTAAAGAGTATTATATGTGAGTTTGAACTGATGGGCAATAATCCATAATTCATTCTAAATGACCAACTTTTACCTGTTCTGCTTTTAATATCTTGTCACTGTTCAGTTAAGGCACTTTATGTTGCATTCATTTTCTTTGATTTGAAATAAGTGAATGTCATATATTTTTGTCATGCCATTTTTATCTAAGCTTTTTCTGTTCATTAGTAAATTTAAAAAGAAGAATACCGATTTATCAATATGAAAAATTATGTATGCCCTAGAAAAATGGAATTGAGTCTAAAGTTGCCCCTTCATAAAGTAATGAAACTTTCTTAAAGTTAACTCTTTTTAATCCAAAATATAAGGCTTTAAAGATTAATGACAGAAGAAAACATTAACATTCAAAAAAAAGGTTAAAATAGTTAAGAATAGACTTATACAATATGCTCCTGAATGACATGTAACTTGTTAAAATAAAACAACTACTGATCTAATATTACAATTAAATACTAACATTATTTACCTTAAAGAAGAGCAAAAATACCTGTAACACTTGATTGACCATAATACAAATTAGACTTGCATTCATAAAAAGGATAGTAAATACTACTACATATATTATTAATTTCATCAGACTGTTCCTCATTACAATATTCAAAGGCTAATGTGAAAAATATAGCCTTAATACAATCTTTATAAATTCAGTGAAAATTCTAAAAAAACAGAAAATTATGGAATTGGAGTCATTCATACAACAGTCAAGGTACATTTATTTCAAAGGGTATTATTACTTTTCAATGCAATAAAATCTAGAGATCATTAAAAAAATCCTAACATTGTAATTTCATTTCAGGGTGATTTTATTCCTTATTTTTTAGACATTTCATGGTTATAGAAAGCTAAATGACTTCTTTTCTGTCTTCATGACATTTAGATAGGTCATATTACTATATATAAATAAATCATACAGTTGCACTATTATAGACAGCTAAGTTAGTTAGAAATTAAATACAGTCTGTGTGAGACCAGACTCTCAAGGAACAGAGTGAAAAACTAAGACGTTAGAATGCTAGCTGCAACACTTAAAGAAGGCCAACTCTCAAGACAGAGGCATAATGGCCAGGCCTGCCTGCTTCCCTAAGGGACAAACTGTTTGGTGGGATTATACTGTAATTAGCTCACTGGGTCAGTGGGTCCAGATGGGGATCAGTCACCCAGGTGGATGGCCATAACATCCAGACCCATAACTTCCCAAAAATGCCTTTGTTCTTTCCATGTGCCCTTGCTATGATATATTTCCTCACTGGATCACTAGTAGCTAAGCAGCTATACTTGTAATTCTGTAAACTGATTGTAGTTTGATCCATGGTGTACTTCTCAGGTTTCCCTTTAGAATATGTTTTCCTGATAGTGAATCTCTCCGTCTACACCTTTCCCAGTGAATAGATTGAGCATATGACAAATCACCTAGTCCTGGCTTCTTTTGTTTAACAGGTCTCAAACTACAATCTTTCCTTTGTTTTCCTCTATATATCAAAAAGAAACCAAGCTGTATTTAAAATTCATTGCTCAGGAATTTCCTCAGGATGCTCAAGTTCATAGCTCACAATATCTACTTCTTGCATAATTGTAGGACAAAATCCACTAAGCTTTCTGTCATTACATAAGGACCTTTTCTCCAGTTTCCAATAAAATGTTCTTAACTTCCATATTTCTACTAACAGTTTATGGGTTAGGTATTCCTTAATGAAATTCATGTTTTCTCTACTGCATTCCTTGCTTCCTTCTGAGTTCTAATTGGCAGAATT